TATATATATACAAACTTTGTAATTTTTTAAAAAGTAATTGTATTGTAGATAAATTGTAAATTGCTAATCGAATAATATAATACAACAGTTAAAGTATGTAATGTTTAGAGTAAACTATACATTGTATATACAGTAGATTAAATGAGCTATATTAACTGCACAAACCCTGTTATATAAAGCCTAAACCCAAAATGTTGATGTCCAGCTTTACATACTCATGTCTATGTATCAGTCTGTCTCTACTCTATAGCTAGTGATCGTATTCAAGAATATGTGTATATGTGATGTAATTGATATAGTGTCTGTCTCTGTGTGCAGCACATGTGTGAACGGCGCTGTGGTCTCGTCTCCCGTCCAGCTGCATCATGGGGATCGAATCCTCTGGGGAAACAACCACTTCTTCAGGTCAGTGAGACACATTTACACTTGGAGGCTGAGTTTAATTGTGTGTCTACTCAGACCATCACAAGCATTGATTTGTCGTCCGTTAAAATGGATTTGTTTAGTGAAAACTAAATTGAGCCAAAGCCGTATGTGTGTGCGGTGAGTACGTACTCTCTTTGTCTCAGGATCAGCGTGTCGAACGTGTATCGTGTTGGTGTGGAGGATGAGGAGGGGAGTGTGACGAAGGCTGGTCTTCACGCTGAGCATCTGGATGTGGATCGTCTCAGTCACGCCTCCAGTGACAACAGCTTCAGTTTTGAGTCGGCACAGACCGAAGTCATGATGAAAGCGCTGGGAAGCGACGGTGAGAGACAGACAACCTCTTACAGTCAATATAACCTGGAGTAAAGGGGGAATGTTACAAACTAATAAAAACCCATTTGAGATCCAAATGAAATTGAATAAAACTACATTTAAAGTTAATGGCAGCACTGCACCAGTATTCTTCCACAAATTTTGTAATTGATTAATTATTACAGTTTTAATTACCATGCCTATTTAGAGAGCATATGTAAACAAAACTAGCCACTAATAGTCAAGTCAAGTTTATTTGTAAAGCGCTTTTCACGATACAAATCATTGCAAAGCAACTTTACAGCAGATTATGTTTCTACAATATTTATTGGTAGCTTATCAGTGGTGACTGTCAGTTGATGAACATATGGCAGAAATGTACGGAAAAATCGATTTAAGACGTAATAAAACAGACGATGAACACTATTAACAGCAATTATTATATGATGCAATCAAACTTATAGCAAAATGTGGTAGTTCTGTAAGTTGTTTCAGGGTTGGCATCATCTGAGGTCCTCTGAGGGGTTGCTTCATCTCTTCTCAGGTGTTCTGGATCCAGACTGAAGCTTGTGTAAATCCTAGTGTGGCAAAAACAGAGAAACAAAGAGAGACATAATTAGCGTAGCTGCTGTTCCAACCAAGTTATTTAGAAGTTTATTTAGCTCTTCCTGTCCTATAGCTGTAAAGCACTGCAGTTTATCTTTTGGTGCGATGAATGAAGCTGAAGTATTATACGCTGTAGAATCTACATTTGTTATTGTATTTCTGATGTTATCTATTTTATCAGTGAAGAAATTCATAAAGTCATTACTATTAAACTGTGAGGGAATATTTAGATCGGGTGGCGTCTGGTTATTTGTTAATCTAGCCACTGTGCTAAATAAAAACCTAGGATTGTTTTGGTTATTTTCTATGAGTTTGTGGATATGCTTAATAATTCTCATATATCATGAAAAATATATTCTTTTGTTCTCATTAAAATGAATAACATCACATATAGTTTGACAGGCAAATGAGAAATGATTTAATTATTTTTCTATTAGTCTGGAATTTTTTTATTGAATCTAGAAAGACTTTTAGAGAGCATGTGTAAACAAAAAGATCCACTAATATTTTTCATATCATTATTTTTTTTTTCTTTTGAATGAATAGCATCACATATACCTTAAAATGTGTATAGAAGATTTTAGGCTTTTTTTAAAAATCCGATTTAACAAAAAATGAGAAATAATTAGTTTTTAATAATGATTTACTTTTTCCCCTTTATTCTATAATTTGTTTTTAAATTTAATCCAAGACTTTTTAAAGAGCATATGTAAACAAAATATCCACTAATATTTGTTATGTATAATGATTTTTTTTCAGGCATTTAACACTCAACAATTTCATATATATAGATATATGTTTGTGTATGTGTGTTATGTAATTTGTATTAATTTCTAACATAAAAGTAATCAAATTATATTATACTTATTATATGGACAGTTTTTCCATGACATGTCAACACTAAAAGCTTTATTATATATTTGTAGATATTTTTAATTAAATGCTTGTGCAATTTGACCATTTCTCCTCAACTTATTTTTTATTATCCAACTCTTTCTTACAAAGCATGTACTTGGTTTAGGGAGTATTATGTTACTGCACAAGAAGAGGAAAATGATTAAAACAACAACAGAGGCAATATGTGACCCTGGAGCACAAAAGCAGTCTTAAGTCGCTGGGGTATATTTGTAGCAATAGCCAAAAATACATTGTATGGGTCAAAATTATCCATTTTTCTTTTATGCCAAAAATCATTAGGATATTAAGTAAAGATCATGTTCCTTGAAGATATTTTGTAAATTTCCTACCGTAAGTATATTAAAACTTAATTTTTGATTAGTAATATGCATTGCTAAGAACTTCATTTGGACAACTTTAAAGATGATTTTCTCAATATTTAGATTTTTTTGCACCCTCAGATTCCAGATTTTCAAATAGTTGTATCTCAGCCAAATATTGTTCTATCCTAACAAACCATACATCAATGGAAAGCTGATTTATTCAGCTTTCAGATGGTCACATATATAAAAAAACAACAGCATTAGATGGGATCTTAATACACAAAGGAAGATAAAGTCTATTTGAAATCATATATATATATATATATATAGTACAAAAAAAGTGTATTCTTATTGGTTGAATTTTTATCAGTGAAATATGTGTCTCAGAGCCGCTGCAGTCGGTGCTTCACTCTCTGGAGCGCAGGCATGAGGAGGAGAAGCGCTTGGCTCTGGAGCGACAGCGGATGATGTACGAGCAGGAACTGCAGCAGCTGCGCAGACGCCTGTCGACAGAGCTGCAGACGCAGCACCAGCACCAGCGCAGCAGCGAGCAGCTCAATGCCAGCCTGGGCTCCTCTCGGAGCGCACTGCGCCAGTGGAGTGACGGGAGGTGCATGCTGAGTTATATTACACACCACAGGAAGTATTTAGTATGTGTGTTTGTGTGCTAAATATCATGTTTATGTGCTTTCAGAGAGGTTTTGATGAATCAAAGTCTGCGTAAGCTCAAAGAGCAGATCGTGAAGGCCAATCTGCTGGTTCGGGAGGCTGGATTCATCTCTGAAGAGCTCAACAAGAAAACCGAATATAAAGTCACACTGCAGATACCGGCTGCAAACCTCAACGCCAACCGCAAGGTCAGGAGAGACGCTCTGTGTGTGCGTGTGATTGACTGTTGAAGGATTTATCCACGTATATTTTTAACATTAATGTTGTAGGTTTATGGTGTCATATTTGTGAATCGTTCAAAACGAATGGTTCATTTAAATGATTCAGTCAGCAAACAAGGATTCGTAAATCATTCTTTGGAAACTGGACTGGATGACGTGTTCGTCACGGTCTGTGTAACTTACTCGAAAACATACAGATAAGAAGCAATATTTGACTATAAGTTTAATTAAATATTCATTCAGTTATCACTATTTGGCATGTGAATCAGTTTTTGTGATTCATCAGGGTTCAGACACTGTCATATATATATACAGTGGGTACGGAAAGTATTCAGACCCCCTTTAAGATTTAATAAATTATGCTATTAATAAAAATTAGAAATGATTATTGAGCAGCAAATCTGCATATTATACTGATTTCTGAAGATCATGTGACATCAGATCATCACTGAAGGAATGATGCTGAAAATTCAGCTTTGATCACAGGAATAAATTACATTTTGTAATATATTCAAACAGAAAACAGCTATTTTAAATAGTAATAATATTTCACAATATTACTGTTTTTACTGTAATTTTAATCAAATAAATATAGCCTTGGTGAGCAGAAGAGACTTTAAAATAAAATAAAAAATACCAAACCCAAACTTAAAAAATATATATATATATTGTTATTTCTAAAACATATTTCATCACTCAGAAATTGTCCTGTTAGTTTATTTTCTATAAACATGAACACTGAAAGTGTTTCATTTAAACAAACCATTGAAAGGAAATGATTTGAACGTTCCATCTTCATTACAGTACGTGCTATTAAAGGACTGTTGAATTGTGGGTCGGGTGAAAATGCTGCTTTAATAATAAAGACTGATGTTTCCTGAGCGCAGCGGGACACGGTTCTGAGCGAGCCGGCGGTGGAGGTGAGGAGGAAGAGCAAAGGCAAGCAGATCTGGTCCGTGGAGAAGATGGAGAACCGGCTGCTGGACATGAGAGAGCTCTATCAGGAGTGGAAAGACTATGACGAGGACAATCCTGTAGGTCAAATCACATGACATCTTCCTGCATTATCAGATTTGACCATGCTACACATAACTGTAGCAACATTGACAATGATATCTTGGCGATACTAATGTAATATTTATTATTATGATGTAATTTTAATATTGTTTTTTTTTTTATATAGTCAATATTTTTAATATCAGCTCATTCTATACATATTTATTTATTTTAAATTTAAAAAAAAATTTTTTTTTGGAAGTAAAACTATATCTCTCGATTAATATGAGGCTGTAAGTAAACATTTTATTATAAAATAATTATTTTTAAGTGAAAATATATATACATTGAGAGATTTATGAGACTGTAAGTGTACATTTTATTATAAAATAGTTACATTTAAATAAAATATGTAAGTCTCTCAATTAATATGAGGCTAAGGAAACTAAGTATAATTTATTATATAAAATAATTAGTAAAATCAACTATGCACTATAACTCATAATAATGCTAGAATAACTTTATATATAATTGTCCATCCATTTTTGGTGAATTTGAAGTTGATTTAATGGAGATATTAATCTAACCAATAAATATGTAAATACTAGTTATTTTAAAATAGGGCTGTCAATCTCATCCAGAATGAAAGTTTTTGTTTACATAATATGAATGTGTACTGTGTATATTTATTATGTGTATATATAAATACAAACACATACATGTATATAATTAAGAAAAATAGGTTGTTTATATATTAAATATATTTATATATAATATAAATATATAAATGTATATACATGTAAATAATTTCAAAATATATACTGTATGTGCGTGTATTTATATATACATGATAAATAAACAGTACACACACATATTATGTAAACAAAAACGCTTATTTTGGATGCGATTAATCGTTTGACAGTACTATTTTAAAATAAATGTAATTCTAAAAGTCAAAATATAACACTAATATTAAACAATATTTTAGAAAATGAAAATCATTTCAAAGCATTTAACATTTTAAAACAATTAAAATATCACTAAATAACAAAAATATTTTATTAATATGCATTTAATAATTAATGCGTGGTAGTATGTATTTTAGGCCAAAGATTTGGTTTTCAAAAAAAAATTGGGAATCCCTGAACTAGCATGATGTGGCTTAAAGGAAACAATACTGAACAGTCAATGTTTGTTCCTCCAAAAACGCGGTTTTGATGAGCATCTTAAATGAAGTATGCTTACACGTGTACACTTCATCCTCGTTGTCTGTGCTCCTACTTCAAGCGTGCCGATCCGTTCTTCGACGAGCAGGAGAATCACAGTCTGATCGGTGTGGCCAACGTCTTCCTGTCCTGTCTGCTGTATGACGTCAAGCTGCAGTACGCAGTTCCCATCATCAACCAGAAGGGAGAGGTGTGCGCGCAAACTGATTGGTTCTAACCATTAGAAAGAGCGCAAGCCATTGACTGATTGCCGTTGGTTTTGTGTGTTTTCAGGTGGCGGGTCGGCTTCACGTAGAAGTGGAGCGTCTGAGCGGAGAGCTAGAGGAGTGTGAGACGGGAGGCTCGGAGATCAGTCCAGACGGCGAGACGCAAGAACGCAAACTCACCTGCATGGTCAGATAAAACAGGACATCATTCAAACATGCAATATGTGACCAGTGCTGCCAAAATGAGTCTGAATCATAGACTGTATAAAAACATGGATGTAGTGTCCGTGAAGTCATCCGTAGGGTTCCGAAGAGAGTTTTTGAAGCTCAAAAGTGGGCGGAGCGGGCCGTCGCCATCTTGGCCGTGCGTCTCCGCGCGTCACTCCCAGATAATCGAAGATGGGCAAAGAGGCGGGAGCTGGTTGCTGAAACCACGCCCACCTAGATCAAGTGGCCACGCCTTTAATTAGGCAGAACTTTAAGGCTTAATATAATTTAAACGGATGAGTTATAAAAAAAATTCACCCCGCTCACAGTTGTCATGAAGGGCAAAATTAGCTATATCGACCAAAATCATTTTTTGAACCAGGCTGTAAACATGTTTTTTTCTGCTGTAAAGTTGGGCATTTTAACATGGGGAGTCTATGGGATTGACTCGCTTTTGCAGCCAGCCTCTAGCGGCCAGTCGATGAATTACAGTTTCAGTCACTTCCGTGTTGGCTTCACGAGAGAGAGCGGGAGGTTGCCGCTTGGTCTGAATGTGCACGGTCTAATTTTGAGCTACAGGCAAAAGAAGTGAAAAACTTTGCACAAAAATTGGTTCATTAAGCCCTCTTCTAGTGATCCCAATGCTCCAAATAGTAATTAAACATCTAAAAAGATCTTTATTTGTACGTTTTCTGATTTGTTCATTCCGACTCATTTTGGCAGCACAGGTCACATATTTCTGTAGATCTGAGCTGTAGTTGAGTGTAGGACGTGAATGTTTTCTGTGGGTTTATATTTCCAGATCAAGGTGTTGCAGGCGACAGGATTGCCTCAGCACCTCTCCAACTTCGTTTTCTGTCAGTATCATTTCTGGGAGCAGCAGAAACCCGTGTTTATCGCCCCGGAAGTGGGTCTGACGGCCCCCAGCAGCAGAGAGCCACAGAGTCTGGTGATGTTTGACAACTGCAAGGTGAAAACACTGCCTTACATGGAGTAAAACATTGCGTTTGTGCCAGTTGTCGGTCATTACGCATGTCTATGTGCATCTGTAGACTCTAGAAGTGGCCGTGACTGAAGACTTTCTGGAGTTTCTGATGGAGGGCGCCGTGGCGGTTGAAGTTTATGGTCACAAACAGGCAAATCCGCGCAGGAATCTGGCTCTCTGGGACCTGGGGGTGATTCAGGCAAAGACTCGCTCTCTCAGAGAGAGGTACACATGCATTTATTAGACTATCCTTAAACACAAAAACTATCACAGATCGTTTCTGTGACAGCAGAGCTAGATTTAGTCAATGTTCAGATGATTGGGGTAAATAAATAATTAAATCATAAGCTATTAAGTAATTAAATAATAAAAAATTCAAATAATTAATTTCAGAATAATTTTAAAACCGTAAAATATTAATAAATATAAATAAAATATTTTATTTGTTTGCCTGCATGTCATTAGACCATCAACCAACATTTAATGTAAAATGACAGTTAATGAATAATTTTCTTAAATTCTTTTTAAAATACTCAAAATAAAACACTAAAATACTTTAGAAAAATATGAATAAATATATTTTATTTGTTTACCCTGCATGTCATGTGACCATCAACCATTAATGCAAAATATAAATTAGTAATTTTAATCTTAATGTTAAAATAATAATTAATAAAAAAATAATTTAACTGTTTTATCTGCATGTCATGTGCCATCAACTGACATATAATGTAAAATTAAAAAGAATACATCATTTTAAAACCATTTTAAATTTAAAACAATCAAAATAAAACACTTACTAACTATTTTTCTGAAATATTAATATAAATTTTTTATTTGTTTACCTGCATGTCATGTGACTATTAACAATATTTAATGTCCAATTAAAATGAAAAAATAATTTTAAAATATTTTAATTTGAAAACAATCAAGATAAAACGCTTAATAAAGTATTTCGTACAATTTTAATAAATAAAAATAAAATATTTAATTTGTTTACCTGCAAGTCATGTGACCATAAAACTGACATTTTGACATTTGAGAAATAATTTTAAAGTAATTAGAATTTTAAAACAATCAAAATCAAACACTTAATAAAATATTTTTGTAAAATATGAATATGAATAAAATAATTATATTTGATCACATGCATAATGTGAACCAATCAACCAACATTTAATGTGGAATTAAAATTTAAAAATCATTGTAAAATAATTTTAATAAAAAAAAATCTAAATAAAAACTAAAATACTTTAGTAAAATATTAATAAATAAGATAAATTATTTGATTACCTGCATGTCATGTGCTTCATTACCAACATCAGAGAACCATGAAGATGTGAATGTTCAATTATTTAAATATTATTTTAAAATGCCAGAGAGTACTTCAAGTAAATATTTTAGTTCAAAACTGTTTGGTTGACAAAAAAGCAGGGGTTTGGGAATACTTGAATTAGGATGCACCAAAAACAGTTGTAATTTGGTTTTTAACTAATTTTGTAAAAGTTTCTTTTCCGCGTTTTATTGTGTGTGTGTGTGCGTGCAGGTGGAGTGAAGTGACCCGCAGGCTGGAGCTCTGGGTTCAGATCCTGGAGCTGAATGATGCTGGAGAGTTTGTGCCGGTGGAGGTTCAGTCAGCTAAGGACGTCTGCACAGGAGGAATATTTCAGCTCAAACAGGTCTGTGTGGACATTAATGATAGTAAGGAGGTGTAAAACTAAATCTTGACACATTTTTCTGTAGAAGATCTGATTTTCCTTCGATGCCGCTCATGACTTGACACTGTGTGTGTGTGTGTGTGTGTGTGTGTGTGTGTGTGTGTGAGAGGGTCAGTCCAGGCGTGTTCAGGTGGAGGTGCGTTCGGTCCAGGACTCCGGCACCATGCCTCTGATCTGTGAGTCTGTGCTCAACGTCTCCATCGGCAATGTGGAAGTCCATCAGATTCGAACTGGCAAAAGCACAGAGACCCAGAGGGTGAAAAACTCATCTTTAATTTTTATTAAAATTTAGAACCAGCTCAAACCAGACGTGCACTAAATTCACAGGTAACCTCAAAAAACATGAAATGCATTAAGCTAAAATGATTTTTATGTATAAATTTGATATAGAAATGTAGTGACAGTAAGGAGTAGTAGTGTAGTGATAAATGTAGTGACATCTTATATGGAGATGTTTGGGTGTGTCTTATGCTAGTTACATACTGCTGGCACATGCTTCTATATTATATTATATATTGATTAACATCTGAATGAGGGTAAAATGCACATGCTAGAATATCTCATGAATCCAGTGTAAAGGTTCCTCACACGTTGTATGTGAGTATTAGTGAATGAGACTGGTGAGTGTGTTTGTTGATGAGCTCTATTAGCAGATGCACAGGTCTGGACTCAAGGGTTTTTTTGTCTTATTTTTGAAGGTGGGAGATAAAGATGTGGACAGTTATCAGGTAATAACTTTTCAGGCTTTTTTAAATTGGTGAATGATGTCTCTATATGTCTGTGGTTGTCATTGTTGTTCATCAGTGCGGGACAAGCCGCTGAATATTGCGTCGGCATTGAGATGTAAATATGGATGATCATATGTTGATGAACATGTTTCTGAATGATTCTATTTATATACACTATCACTCATTTTTTTTAAAGAAATTTCTAGTTTTATTTAGCAAAAATGCATTAATTTGGTCAGAAGTCAGGAATAAATGACATTTTACAATATATTCAAACAAAACACCGGTATTTTAAATTGTAATAATATTTCACAATATTACTGTTTTTATTGTGTTTTTCATTAAATAAATGCAGCTTTTGTGAGCAGAACAGACCTACAGTACATTAGTGTAGATCTGAGCTTTACTATGTGCTTGATATATATTAATAAAGCAATATCTTCTGCATGTTTGTACTTGTAGGAGGTTGATCTGGAGAGACTGAGAGCTCGGTGGCTCACAGCTCTAACTGAACGACAGGAATATCTGGACCAACGTCTTCAGAAACTTGTTGGCAAGCACGGTAAGACGAGATGTAGATGACCTGCATGCTTATGGGTTTCTAGAAATCAAATGTGTTTGAGTGGAATACATCGAAGGAACATCTTTTGTGAAAATGAGAGAAAAGTGGCTCTTGTAGATAAGTCAGAAGAGGATGTGGAGAGCGAGTCGCAGCTGCTGGAGTGTCGTCTGACGCTAACGGAGGAGAGAAACGCTGTGCTGGTGCCCTCTGCTGGCAGCGGTATCCCAGGAGCCCCGGCAGAGTGGTATGTGATGGTATACTTGCTCATATTTTATTCCTTACTGGTCCTACAATGTTATTTCCTTTCAAGCAATCATAGGACTACCTTTATCTAACCATAACCAACTCGTTAAATTCAAATGCAACAATCTGATTGTTTTGTGCTCTTTGGTTAATTTAGTTTAGTGAATTCTTCTCATGAACCTTATGTTCACTGTCTGGCTCCGGTTCCTGCAGGGCTCCTGTGCCAGGAATGGAGACGCACATCCCAGTCATCTTCCTGGACCTCAGCGGTAAATATTTACTGTGTTCCAAATCCTGGTGCGCTGCCTGGATGTTTACTCCCTACATAGGCAGCTGCCTACTAAGGGTGCATCATAACTGAAATAGGCCTCATAAGTGAATGATTTGGAACATGAACCTGACTCACAATTGTTTTCCAGTTGAATTTAATGTCGAGATGCTAACACAATCTAATATGTATAAAACACACAAATATCGCTTCAAATAATAAAGTAATGAAAATGTCAAGTGAATTCGTTAACTTTAAAATTATTTTAAAACTGGTATTTTTGTATTCTTACCTGATTTTTTTTTTCTTCATAATTTTATTATGTACTTTTGGCATTTTTATTAGTTTTGTTTTTTAATATTACTATTTAGTATTAAGGCTTTTTTGTTGTTCAGTTGGATTTTTTATTTTCAGTTAGTAATTTTATTTCATTTAGTTTTCAGTGTAACATTTCTATTGTTTGTAATTTTTATGTATTATTTAATTTCAGCTTTATTGAGAACATTTTGTTAGCATGTTGAGTTGATAGCATGATCTAATATAGAGTATATACAATACAAAACATAAGAGTTTTAAATACATTTAACTGCCTTTATTGCCAAAGATAGTAATTAAATGATTAAAAAATGTTAAATAAATAATTATAAAATATCTAAATGAAAAAGCTTTTTTAAAAGATGAAATATTTGATTTGCATAAATGCGTGTTATTTTAGTATTATATACCATTTTATTTTTGTTAATATTTTGAATTGGCTTTTATTTTTATATTATTATTATTTCCATTTAAGTTTTAGTAATTGTCTCATGCTTTTGTCATTTTTATTAGTTTATATACACATACACACACACATTACTGTTTTTTTTTCAGTTAGTGATTTTAGTATTTCATGTATTATTTATATTTAATTTTATTACAAACTTTTGTGTTCATTTTAATAGTTTTAGTTTAATACAAACACCCTGATGTGACCATGAACTGACTGATCAGAGAACTGTGAACATGTGAATGTGTTGTTCAAATATTGAAATATCGGCTTAAAATCTCAGAGGGACTTTGAGTAAATATTTTACAAATTGAGTTCAGCTGACCAAAAAGTTGGGATGTTGTATGAACAAAAAGTGACTGTTGTATGAACTATTTGTGATCAACATTTCTCTCTTCTGTCTATCTACAGCTGATGACTTCCGTGATCATCTGTCCGCTCCTCTAGCTGGAGGTCTAGATGCTGCACTCGACAGAGAAGATAAAGATGATTTCATGGACTTACAGATAGTCAAATACTATGATAATGAGGTGAGGAGACAGTATTTTGCTTCTCAGTGGAACAAAAAAACTGCACCACGATATTCCACATGACATGAAGGAAACACTCTCTTCCCACAGGTGAAGACAGAGGCATCATGGGACTGCACCGTTCATGACAGTCCTGAGCTGAATCGAGTGAAGGGGCCGGATCACCGGATTTACCTCACAGTCCGCACCATGGTTCTGCTCAGTCATCCCGCACAACTGCAGCTGGTCCTGCGCAAGCGCATCTGCGTGAACCTCACCGGACGACAGGTGTGACGCTTAAAGGGTTAGTTCACCCAAAAATGAAAGTTCTGTCATTAATTACTCACCCTCGTGTTGTTTCAAACCCGTAAGACCTTCGTTCATCTTCGGAACACAATGTAAGATATTTTTGATGAAATCTGAGGGCTCTCTGACCCTCCCATAGACAGCAAGGTAACTACCACGTTCAAGGTCCAGAAAAGTACCAAGATGATCGGCAAAGTAGTCCGTGTGACATCAGTGGTTCAACTGTAAAGTTACGAAGCTACGAGAATACTTTTTTGCACAAAGAAAACAAAAATAACGACTTTATTCCACATTTTCGTCTCTACTGCATCACTTGTGGACGCGCGTTCACGACAGTATCATGACGCGAGATCTGGGTCAGCGCCGCCACACGCTTGCGTCATGGTCAAGTGACGCAGTAGAGACGAAAATGTGGAATAAAGTCGTTATTTTTGTTTTCTTTGCGCAAAAAAAGTATTCTCGTAGCTTCGTAACTTTAGAGTTGAACCACTGATGTCACAAGGAATACTTTGTCGATCATCTTGGTACTTTTCTGGACCTTGAACGTGGTAGTTACCTTGCTGTCTATGGGAGGGTCAGAGAGCCCTCAGATTTAATAAAAAATATCTTAAATTGTGTTCCGAAGGTCTTACGGGTTTGGAACAACACGAGGGTGAGTAATTAATGACAGAACTTTCATTTTGGGGTGAACTAACCCTTTAATGTGTGACTCGACTGATGGGGTTATTTTTGTGTTTTTTATTGAGTGCTCTTTCATCGATCGGATCTCTTCCTGCAGGGCTTTGCTCAAAGTCTGCTGAGGAGAATGTCTCACCGCAGCTCGATCCACGGCTGTGGAGTCACGTTTGAGATCGTCTCAAATATCCCAGGGGTACGTGAAGAGCAACATGATCTTTTCTTGTTTGAGCAATGTGAATTTTGTTATACTATACATTAGTGTTCAGAAGTTTGAGGCCTGTAAGATTTTTTTTATGTTTTTGATTGAAGTCTCTTATGCTCATCAGGACTGCATTTATTTGAGAAAAAAAAGTAATATTGTGAAATATTATTGCAATTTAAAATAATCCATTTGAATATATAGTAAAATGTAATTTATTCCTGTGCTCAAAGCGGAGTTTTCAGCATCATTACTCCAGTCTTCAGTGTCACATGATCTTCAGAAATCATTCTAATATGCTGATTTGCTGCTCAAGAAACATTTCTGATTGTCAATGTTGATTCTTTGATGAATGTGAAATGCAAAAGAACAGCATTTATTTGAAATAAAGTCTTTTGTAACATTCTAAATGGATTTACTGTCACTTTTGGTGCATCCTTGCTGAATAGAAGAATAATTATTTCTTTCAAAAAAATCCTACTGACCCCAAACTTTTGAACAGCACTGTACAGAAATCTGTGAGAAGCAGGTAACAGAAGCAGGTGTGTGCATTTGTTGACAGGACATTCAGAGCTCAGAGGACCGAGAGATGCTCGCCCGACTGGCCGCCAGCACCGACAACCCAGGAGCCGACAGTGAAGCCGCCATCGAGAAATACCTGCGGAGTGTGTTAGCAGTAGACAACATCCTCACGCTGGACCGTCTCAGACAGGTCTGACACACTGTGTCTGCTTTATATATACAGTGGGGAAAAAAAGTATTTAGTCAGCCACCAATTGTGCAAGTTCTCCCACTTAAAAAGATGAGAGAGGCCTGTAATTTTCATCATAGGTATACCTCAACTATGAGAGACAAAATGAGAAAAAAAATCCAGAAAATCACATTGTAGGATTTTTAAAGAATTTATTTGCAAATTATGGTGGAAAACAAGTATTTGGTCAATAACAAAATTTCATCTCAATACTTTGTTATAATATACCCTTTGTTGGCAATGACAGAGGTCAAACATTTTCTGTAAGTCTTCCGTAAAAAATGAAATATTTTGTTAACCTGCATGTCATGTTGGCATCTTAGAAAGAAAAATGTAAAAGATGAAAAAGAATTAGGGAGAATCAATAAATTATGAATAAATTATTTCTATTGTGTAAATATAGGTAAAATATAACTGTAGTCTGATTACAAGCATTTTAAAATGTAATTTAATCTATATACAAGTACTTAATTTTTGGAAACTGATTACGAAATCCAGATTTCATGTAATCAATTACTACCCAGACCTGATAATTTATTACTGGGATCACTCTGTAACATCCAGTATACTCGGATTTGTCCAGTATTTGCATAGTTTCATTTTCAGGTTAATTTTATTACTTAGAACACCTAAGGATAAAAACCTTAGCAACACCCTAGCAACCACTTATAATACCATAGCAACATAAAAATGCTTAGAACACCTTAGCAACGCCCTAGTAACCACTCATAATACCACTGCAATTGCAAAGTAACATAACTAAAATACTCAGAACCACCTTAGCAGCACCCCAGCAAGCAGCCTAAACACTCTAGTTCCCTTTCATTTACTGTCCATCCAGATGTTCAGCTTGTTTACTGATGGTTTCTTGTCTGTGCTTTGATGTTCTGTAGGGTGGTTGGGACAGTCGGCAGGAGATTTCTGTGCTAACATCAGCCACGAAGAGCCCATCTCACTCGGCGTCGGTACAAAACCAAAACTCAGAGCCAGGTAACTGTCCTCATCCTCTTCTGCTGTCCACCTTCCCCTTCACAGCTAAGACTGAGCTTACATTACCTGATGGAGTTTGACTTTACTCCAGAGTTTGGCTGTCTAACATGACAACAGCAAAAAAAAAAAAAACAGCAAAAGTAATACTCGGAGCACCTTAGCAACACCCTGGCAACCACCCAGAACACTATAACCACATAAAAACAGTGAGTGCACCTTAGCAACAATTCAGAACACAATAGCAACATGATAAAAACACTCAAAACACCACATAGCCACATAGTGACATTGTCAAAAAATACTTGGAACACCTTAGCAATGCCCTAGCAACCACTCATAATACCACAGCAACTGCAAAGTAACATGATTAAAATACTCAACACCTGAGTGACACCCTAGCAACCATTCAGAACATCATAACAGCACTGAGATCACCTTAGCAACTCCCTATCAACAATTCAGAACGATATAGATAAATATGCTCAGAATACCATAGCAATACCCTAGCAAACATTCAAAACACCTTAGCAACATAGTAAAAACGCTCAGAACACCTTCGCAACACCCTAGCAACCACATAGCTACATTGTTAAAAATACTTGGAACACCTTAGCAATGCCCTAGCAACCACTCATAATACCACTGAAACTGAAAAAAAAGATAAAACACTCAAAATACCTTAGCAACCACTCATAATACCACTGAAACGTCAAAGTAACATGATTAAAATACTCAGAACACCTTAGCGACACCCTAGCAATCATTCAGAACACCATAGCAACAGAACACTGAGAGCAACTCCCTAGGAATTGAGAACACTATAGCAACATGGTAAAGATGTTCTGAACACTTTAGCGGCACCCTAGCAACCACATAGCATCATTAAAAATACTGGGGGTGCGTCTCAATCAGCTCCCTAGCTCCCGAGCTCGTGAATCAATAGATCGTGTACACTAATCCGGGCACTGGTAAGTTCTCTGACTCACTGCACGTTGGGACAGTGATCACTCGAATTCCAGTGACATGATTACGTACAGCGTCAACGGACAACTTAATAGAACGTCATCACTGGAATTAATTAACAACATGCAGGACCAATCTAATTTTTATATTATTTTTTATTCTCTTTAAAACACATTGTTCTGTTACATGTTCTTACAACATTTCAGCCGAATATTAATTATAAATGTTAATTAGATGTGTTCAGTTCCTGTCTAGCAATGTGTGTTTGTTGAAATGTACTAAAAACGTTTATTCTTTTCAAATCTTCTATCATGCGTCATTATATTTGTCGAGTTGGCTCGTGTGGTTTGTTTCACGCTTCAGAAATGTGACGTTATTTCTGGTAAGGGAGCATAGTGAGCGCCGATGCTCCCTAGTTTTTGCGGTGCATTGTGGGATTTTTCAGGGAGCGAACGTTCCAGTGGACACTCATAATATCACTGCAACTTCAAAGTAACATAATACTCAGTACACCTTAGCAACACCCTAGCAACCAGCCACATATTTCTAGCACCTTGTCACCAAGCACCACTTTTCTTCAGATAAGTTATTGAAAGCTGTAACTGATTGCTAGTACCCTTGACCTGCTGGCCTGTGCATTAACTCCGCACTCCATGGCGCTTATTAAAGGTTTGTGTTTGCAGCAGTTGTTTGGTGCATGTTGTCAATGTGCAATAAAGTAAAAATGTTCAATAAAAAGTGTATGCGGTTCTTTTGACCTCTGTGCTCCGTTTGGAGGTGCTGATCCGCTTATGTAGTTTTGTTTTTGCTTTATTCATGCTTTGCGCTTTTTTTTTAACTCACATGGGTTCTCTGCTCTTTTCTCTTCTGCCTTTCTTCTGTCCTTCCATCTTTCGCTCCTCTGCTGCTCCTCAAACCCGTGTTCCTGCAGGTCTTTTAGGATTTGCTGCATCTTATTTCTCCCCAGTGAAAGCTCTAGTGTCTCCAGTACCCAAAATGTTCAAGTCTCTGTTGTCCAAGAAAGAGGAGAAGAAAGAGCCTCCTCCTGCTGCCTTTGAGCAGGTAACAAAACCTGCTGTGGCTCTAAAATATACTTCACAAAACATTTCTAGATTTAGAAAAGCATAATATAGTATTATCACTGCACAGTGTACCAATCTGTGATTAGCATACAATGTCCTGGACTTATAAATTTAACTCATATTTTCAACTAGAATGTGCCACGTATTGTTGTTCAGTCTGTCAGTCTTGAAGACATCAACAGCTATGAACTGGTAAGTCTGTTCAATCTGTCTGTTCAATTTTATAATTTTTTTTATTTATATAAATAAATCTTGTATAATATTTTTATCTTTTTGAATAGTAATACAATTTTTTTTTAATGTTTATATAAAAAGTCATGTTTGATCTTTTATTTTGAAGACTCCACAGGCTCCTTCAAAAGACATATTTCCCATATTTCCGGTTATTCCTGATAAAGTAGAGACCACTGAAGCATCCACCATATCCTCAGAAACCACGTCTGACATCCAGATAGTAAGTCTACATGTATTATAGGCTGCTGCTTATTAGTATTGTGAACAGTATCTGGTGATGTGTTGTAGTGGGTAACATAAAAGTTGGTTTGAATGCTGTGTATATTATTACTTATCTTGATCTTTATGATCTCTTCAGAGCCATGCTATGGAAACTCCAATTTCAGAGAATCCAGAGAATGTTAAGGAGATTCTGTTGCATCGCATTCCTCAAGAAGTTAAAGAAGTTCCACCTCTTTCTGTTCCTCCAGTGGTTGAGGAAGTTCTACCATCTAATCTTTATCCAGAAGTTGAGGTTCCACATCCTAATCGTTCTTCAGAGGTTGAGGAGGTTCTACATCCATCTGTTCTTCAAGTGATTGAGGAAGTTCTACCATCTAATCTTTCTTCAGAAGTCGAGGAGGTTCTATCTCCATCTGTTCCTCCAGTGGTTGATGAAGTTCTAGGTCCTAATCTTTCACCAGAGGCTGAGGAAGTTCTATCTCCATCTGTTTCTGCAGAAGTCAGAAAGGTTCCACCTCTTCCTGCTTCTTCAGGAGTCAAAGAGTCTCTACCTCCTATGGTTCCATCCGAGATTAACGAGGTTCCACCTCCTGCTTCTGTAGAGGTTGAATACCCCAAGCAAAGCCCAGTTGGTGATTCAACAAACGGCTCCATCAGTGATGTCTCAAGTGGATACATCTCCACAAGTGTCTCCACAGCGACTCTCTCTGAGTGTGCGGTCTCGAATGTTGACCATCCTCTCCTTGACAGCACAGAGGCCAAAATAGACTCTACTTCCAAAAGGACTGAACCTAAAACAGAGTTTGTTCAGCATCAGTCAAAACTTGAACCAGCTGACCTAGAACTTGGGAAACGGGCACCTATAGAATCCCAGACATCAGAAGAACATGGTCAAGTGTCTCCTCTAGATACATCTCCTCAAAAACTCCTCAGTGTTTCTGATTCCTTACCTCAAGAAACCTCTGAAGCCAACGTCTCTTCATCTTGTTCAGCCGCATCAGTACCATCTACACCACTGGCACTACCAGCTGCCTCAAAAGCAACTGATCCGTCAGTTCCAGTCAAGACAGCTAAGCCATCAACACCTGACCAGCAATCAAGACCTGAACAAAACGTCAAACCCAATCCTGCTCCCACCTCCAACCCTTTCCAAATCCACAGAGTCAAGACCTCCGGCCTTAAGTCTTTCAAGGGAATCCTGCATGAAGAAGATGTAGAGGGCAAAACTAAACTCGGTAACTCTTTATCTTCACTGAGTGAGTCTCAAGAAAGACTGGAGATCCTTTCAGATTCAGAGGAAAGCCTAGAGACTCCCGACTGGCTGAAAGAGGGGGAATATGTGACTGTGGGCACAAATAAATCTGGAACAGTCCGTTATGTTGGACCGACTGACTTTGCAAAGGGCATTTGGGTTGGAGTGGAACTTGATGTTCCAGCAGGTTGGTAATGCTTTTTAACTTCAGTAGATCAATTTATCAGTAGAGTCGATACTACCGGCATGCATATCAGATTCCAGTCATTGGAAAGGACTTGCAACCCATTGACCATGGACAGTGGATTTGCAAATATTGTTTGTAAGGAGCATTTGCATGTATAACTTGAGAAGTCAGTAGATCTAGAGAACACTGTATGCAATACCACCACCTTGCTGTACTGGCCAGGGCTGCATTTCCCAAAAGCATCGTAAGCCTAAATAGATTGTATAGACCGTTGGTGCCAATGGCTTCTACGATCTACTTAGGCTTATGATCCCAGGTGTTACATGTTGTGGACTTGGGGTTTTGTAGGATTCAAAATGGTACTCTCTAGTGCCTTTTTAAAAAAATTATCAATGGACCATTGATTAGCAATGGTTCTCTTCTCGTATCTGCCACCAAATAATAATGCTCTTATTCATTTCTAGATAAAAATGATGGTTTAGACTTGTGGATGTGTGTGATTCAAAATGGCGCTCACTAGTGCCTTTTACAAAATTTGCACTTGCATAGACTTCATAGTGGTCCACTAACCAACTTTTTCAATTATGAGAAATGATGTCTAATCCCATGATGGACCATTGATTGAAAAATATTCTCCTGTCATATGCAACACCAGATAATTATGCTCTTCTTCATTTCTAGGTACAAACAATGTGGATTTAGATTCAAAATGGTTCTCATTAGGCCCTTTTTATGAAATGTACACTTGCCTATACTTGAAAGCAGTCCACTAACGAATTGTCCCAATTATTTAAAATAACGTCTAATCCCATGATCAATGGACCATTGGTTTGAAAATCGTTTTACCTAGAAATTAAGACAAGCAAAATTGTTTGTACTTGTGATTTCGCATGATTCAAAGTTGTGCTCACTAGTGACTTTTTATGAAATTTACACTTGCATAGACTTCACAGTGGTTCACTAACCAACTGTTTCAATTACAAGAAATGATACCTAATCCCATGATCATTTGACTGTTGATTTGGAAATATGATTTAGAAAAATGGTGCTCACTAATCCCTTTTTAAAGGAAATGTATACTTGCATGGACTTGAAAGCGGTCCACTAACCAAGAGTTCCAATTTAAAAAAAAATTGCCTAATCCCGTGATCAAAAGACCACTGATTTGCAAATGTTCCTTTTGTATGCACCACCCAACAATTATGCTTGTCTTAATTTCTAGGTAAAAACAATGGTTCGGACTTGCAGACTCAAAATGGTGCTTTCTAATGCCTTTTTATGAAATTTACACTTGCATAGATTTCACAGTGGTCCACTTACCAACGGTTTCAATTATTAAGAAATGATGTCTAATCCCATGATTAATTGACCATTGATTTCAAATGTTCTGCACCAAATAATTATGCTATTCTTCATGTCCAGGTAAAAACGATGGTTCGGTTGGTGGTCGCTATTACTTCCACTGCAACCCTGGTTACGGCGTTCTCGTGAGACCAAATCGGGTCATGAAAGCGGCGGGTACCGCTAAACGGTCGAGGCAGAAATGCAAGCAGAACCTCTCAGGATCTAGTCCCAACCTGGCAGCCTTTACAGCGATGGCCAAAGGAGAAGCTGGAGCATGCAAGGGTGAAAACAGGAAGTCTTGGGTTAGCTGAGGACAATGCATCCTTGTTGATGGACGTGTACAGAGGACATTATTGGTATGGCACTGAAACACTACACTGATACTTGCAGGGATGTAACTGCCATCTGATTTACTAATGCATATCTGCACTACATAGTGCGCATAGAAAAACCTGTTTCAATTCTCAGTAAGCAGTATTTTTGGTATTAACTCTTTTTAAAAATGTTTTTTAATAACACAAAGTGCCCTGTTTACTTGAAGCCAATGTCAGGGGGTATGTGCATGTGGATGTTCTCTAAAAAAAAATCAGGATACTGATGGATTCACTTGAGTGCGTCATTTCATGATTTTACATACAGTAGGTGAAGGTGGGATGGGTTTTACTTGTGGAGATTAAAAGTGCCAGACAGTTTTATTCATAAATGAATGTTTTTACTTTTTAGTGTTATTATGGTGAGTTAGTTCTGTATTTTCTGTTGGTTTGGTACCTTTTGTATTATTGTTTTTTCTTTTTTTCTTGAATGAGTAATTTATGATCAAATTGTTGTTTATTTATTTGCAAATCAAAGTAATGACAAAAAATAATAATGTTGAAGATTTTATATTGCAATGATGAGCGTAATAAACTTTATTATTTTATTATCTTGCCTTGTTATACACGTCAAACTCTTAAAAGAATAATATCACACGGTTGATCTTCAATATACCTTTATTTTCCAGAAGATAAAGTACTAAAATAAACACAAGTTTTAAAAAAAGTCATTTTAAACAAAGAAACTGTACAAAAAGTTCATATATACTATAGTATACTTACAGAACAGTCTACTGTCCAAAAAAGGCACTAAATTCTTAAATGGGAGATACATATGTTTCACAACAGAATGCTTTGAAATCATAGAATTATTTGATTCAAACAATCTTTAAATTCATAGTTACGGTCTTCTGTTTCTTTATACAGTTGCTTTTATAAGCCTATAGGTTTTTTGTTTATAGACATGAAAATGCACTCTGAGGAACTAAATGGAAAGCACCCCCTTTGAACCAGCAGGGTTACTGTTCATTGCTCTGGAATAAAACACTTGAGGCAACAGAACGAGTCATTTGTAGAATCTGTATGTCACTTTGAGATCATGTAAATGTCAATACTTGATATCATACTGCAGTTTGGCACATTCTGTCATGTGTACCAAGAGGCTGTAATGACACACATACGCGGACAATTGAACGCATTAGAAAATGACCTTTTTTGTGTATCGCTGCAATGTTTAAATGTAACAAACTTATAGTACAAAACAAATGTGGCAAGTTTCTTGAGTGAAGGGGGTGCTCAGGAGACTGCTCTGAACGTAAAACATAAAAACGGTGTAAAACAATCAAATAAAAAAAGAATCTTGAATTATTATTAAACAAAAATTGTCATTTCATAAATATTAGTTGTACACAGGAAGATATAGGAGAAAGGATAAATAAAAAACTGGCCTTCATTCATGACACGGACAGAACCAATTTCTGTTTAGCTGTTTGTAAAACCATTCTTATGTAATTTGTCACTTTGTGTAAGTGTTGCATTGAGTTTGTGATCATTAATGTAAGAATGGCTCTACGAATCATTCGTTCTGCTCGTTTCAATGAATGAAGCCCAGTGAGAGAATAAAGTTCTTTTAGAACCTTTTTTTCTTTTTATTAAAAAAAAAGCTACATTTTGGAACCAAGCTTATGTTAGATGAGAGTTCAGACTCTCGAAGCTCTGTGGCAGCAGAACAAACATTTATCAGCCAGTCTCTTGTGAACAATTAACACTGTGAAATTCTGATATCATTTCACAATAATAATAATAAAGCTTCGTGTAAGTTTGCACGTTATAATTCTTAACTTGAGCCAAAATTTGAGTGGAAAGAATATTTCACGTTGACGTATTTAATTCTAAACACGATGAGAGCAGATGCTTCAGTCTTGACACTTTGTGTGAAATCTTTGCACGTGAATCAAACATAAAAGCTAAATAAATACAAACATAATAGCGCTTCAATGCAAATTCACTTTGGGTAATGCTGGACACGTAACGGTTTAAAATAAAGAAAGCTAGCTGTCTTGCAGGTTCATTTAGAGTCCAGGAGACTTGAGCTTTTGCGGTTATGTAACCACATCAAGTTTCACTACAATTATAATTCCCCCCCCCCCCCATTTGAACATGATTCAAATCTAAATACAGTATAATGCAATTGGATAAATCTCACTATAAATCCAGGTTAAATTTCATCCACAAACCAAAAGGAAAATAATGTGAAATAATATTTTGCATTTTTATGGCATCATAGCAATTATGCACATTTTCCCTTAAAGGGGTCATAGGGTGCCCATTTTCCACAAGTTGATATGATTCTTTAGGGTCTTAATGAAGTCTGTAACATAGTTTGGTTAAAATATCTCAATGGTCGTGTAAAAACACCTTTTTTACCCTGTCAAAAACAGCTCTTTTCAGAGCACGCAGTTTTGTAGCATTTTCCTTTAAATGTTAATGAGCTCTGCTGACCCCGCCCCTCTCTTCCGAGCCGCTCTGAGAGACTGTTAACTTTAGCCGCATTCATCGTGAAACTTGCTAATTAGCACATTATTAGGAAAGACGATTTGCAAAGATTCGTTAAAAAAACCTTATACTCACTTCTTCTGTAGATGAGGCTGGATCATGAATGATTCGCGCGAACATAGATGCATTTATGTAGATCGGGGGTGCATTCCCTTCAGAAACAAATAATCCACGGCGTTCAGCGGCTCAGATGTCGGGAGTAAATGAGGACTGCTATGTTCATTATTACATCCAACAACAGAACACCTCAATCGCTTAGGAGTCATTCTTGTCTACATCTGCTCCGGCGGTGAAACAATGGCGGACTGATGACAGTCACTCAGGGCGGAGCTAAGGTAAGACGCCAGTCCAGTCTGTGCTGAAACGCTACTGTCAATCAAACTATCGTGGGAGGGGCCTGTCTGTGTGACTGAGATCGGCTCCATTTGAGAAAGGGGGATTTTAGTAGATTAACAAAAAAAAACTTTTTTTTTATCATTTTAGGGAGGTTATGTACACACACACTGCCAACACACATTTCTGTTCAAACAACTTGTAAAAGTGCATGTAGCATTATATGACCCCTTTAAAATATTGTTTTAATATTTTTGTTGTTTAATTTTGTTTAAAATATATCTATATGTTTAAGACCATAAACGCTTACAATTTTCAGCATTTTTGGAGAAGAAAATGTGCTTTAAAATCTGCCAAAAAAACCTCTAGTGTCTAAAATATTTATTTTATGCAAAATATATTAATTTCTCTTTCACTTTGTGGTGAAATGTGTTCTTGACAGTTTTCATGAGATTCACCCAATTGCTGTTTGATGAAATCCCTTACAAAAGTAAAGTAGAAACGTTAAACCTGTGAACAGAGCATCTGTAGTGGGAATGGAGGAGATCATGGATCCAGAGCAGAAATTTGCTGAGACTCGCCTCTCTCCTAAACCATCTGCCTTTAGCTTATCTGTGGGAATGAGGGTCACTGGAGCACACGGACAGGAAGCACACCAAACATACAAGTTACTGGAATGAGGTACGAGGTTTGGGTCAGCAAGGGTTAAATAAGAGCCGTAGGTGATGGCCGAAACATTGTGGAACGACCTTCCACTTATCAGTTCCTGTCAAGAGTGTGTGTCGTTGACTCTGGGTGTGTTTAGTGGTTCAGTAGGAGTGTTGATGGCAGGCCAAATGGAGCTGATTTGATCATTGCTCCAAGAACACACACGCACGCACGCACTCATCGATCCTCTTCGTCCTGCGCTCTTCCTCAGTCGTCATCCAGTGACTCTGTCTTGATTTCACTGGCCACACCTTCCGGATGGGACAGGGCGAGGATGCTGTGATTGACAGCTGCCATCTCCACGGCGAGAGAGATGGGGTCCTGGTGGTCTGCGTGATTGCCGGTGTCATCCTTAAAGAGACGTGTGCGTGAATTAGCAACTGCGTCAGTGAAACATTCGATATCAGGTTACAAAAGTAATCAACTTTTTTTTTTATGTAGTATTTTCAAATGTTAAAATAACTTTAAAATTAACACACACCACATTTTATTTAACGCAATGTCTTTTGGGGGGTAATTTCTCAGCCCAAACTGATTTGGTACATCATGTGATGAACTAAGATTTAAAATTTGAATTGTTTTAGATGTAAATTTTAATTGCTTGACAGCCCATGTATGTATGTATGTGCATCAGTGGTGGGCTGTCAGGGCCAGCAAAGCCTTCTCTGCTGGCCCAAACACTATCAGAATCACTGATTTAGTTTTAATATCTTTTTCCATGAATGTGTATTAAATTATTTCCAATAGTCTATTCTCTTCATGTCATAGCTTTTCTCTTGGTTGCACTGCTTCCAGCAGTGTATGTTTATATTAGAGCTTTTATCCAATCATATTTCAGCAATCGTGTTGCCAGGGTCAAAGAAATCTGCCTTAAGGCCTTCAGAATCAACAGTGCAGGCGTCTGTTAGCTTAAATCAATGGCAATGAAACTGTTGCTTTAACCAATCAGATTTCGAGTTGCGTTTTGGTGGCAACACCAGGGCCATCTAGCTGGCTAACGATAAAGTCAGCATTTTCTCATCCTTTGATTGGATGGTCAGCATACTAGCAAGCAAACAGCATCACTGTAAATCATTTTATTAAAACTTAGTAAAACTTTTATTACTGTACCTCAGGTTTAGATTTTCAGTACATTTTGAAAAAATATGTGCCTACTATATTTAGTAAATCTAAAAACAGTAGTCCTAATAACTGTAGCAGTAAGAGAACATTAAATTCTTAGGTCAACTTTAAAACACGTTAATCACCTTATTTGTTTTATACCAATGCTATCTGTGAGGTATAAAGATTTGCTGCTCAAGAAACATTTCAATGTTGAAAACAGTAGCTGCTTTTGTGTAAACCATGATTTATGGATGAAGGATGAACTGAAAAACAGCATATATTTGAACAGCCTTCACTGTCAGTTTTGATCAATTTAATGCACACTTACTAAATAAACATACATTTTTTTTACAAAAAAATAAATAAAAATCTTACTGACCCCAAACTTGTGTTGGGCAGTGTATTTAAACATTTTAGCCAGTAATTGGGTTCAACCTTATCTTTGTACATTTATCAACCTAAAGTAAAACAAGCAAAGTTCGTTAACCTGGCGTTGTCTTCTCCAGCTGGTACCAGCGATAGAAAGCTCGTTTCTTCTGTTCGCTGAGATCTGAGCCCTGCTGGAGGAGCCAGTGAGAGATTCTGCTCTGACTGATGCCTGACGCACAGAAAGGCAAAACAAATCAATAACAAATGAATGCACAAGTCAGAGTCAAACTGACAAACAGAACAATAACAAAACAACAGCCCATCTTACACTCAGAATTGTATTTTGGTTTAGTAATTACGGTTAAAGCCACTGCACATTCTGTCCTCGCTGAAAATAGAACGCTGTAAAGTGACAAAATCTTAGTTAATCAGAACATAGTTTAATATAAATCTAAGTGATACAGGATTGTGAATAATTAACTGCATTCAGTGGCGAGTGGCAAAATTGGAAACCAAATTTTGATCCATTTCAATGAATATTCCAGTTTCAAAACAGCATCTGGTACATGCTGTCGATTACCACAGACAATCATTTTGAATTGTGTAAATGCTTCAGTACAAAAGTGTTAATTAATCTGTAAAGTCAAAACCCTCTAGCAGTGGGACTACTATTCTTGACAGTTGAACTTCCTGTGGAAAAGAAGTTTCCAAAGACATGGTCAGTAAGAGATTCTATCAAACTATAGGACATTATTAAAGACAAGACGGATAACACTGCATAGCCTTCACTAAAATAATACAGATTAATACTAATGGTTATTCATTTGTGAGAAGTTTTCTGTCTTTTGTTGTTTGGTTAGCATTAAAAACACAGAGAGCAGCAGGTATATTTGGCTGGTGTCACTTTGAAGACCTAATGAACAGATCCAACATATTTGACCATGTTAATAGGGCCTTTCGCACCGCAGGAACCTTTTCATAGTACCAGAACTAATTGTGGAACTACCCACTTTTCGGCGTGTTCGCACCGCCGGAACTGGGAGGGATTTTAGTACCGGACTGCCTTTTTCGAGAACCAAATTAGCTCCTACTCCGGAGCAGGGTCTAACCAGCACAACTGGTACTAATCGTGATGTAAGTAGACATTGATTGGCCAAACGCGTACGAAAACACCCTCACCCGCCATGATTTAAAACGCCGTGTAAACATACTGTAAGCATGTCAACTTATTTCGCAAGTATGGAGGACAGCGAAAGATGGACGGACGCTGAAGTGCAGGCACTTGTAGCACTGCCAGCACCGAAGGTACCTATTGTATCCATTGGCGTTATTCTTCTTCCGTTCTTGAGTCTATGGCAGCCCATAGAAGCGCTTGCGGAAAAGTTGTGAAATTTGGCACACTGGTAGAGGACAGTCTCAACATTGACCATAGCAAGTTTGGCATCTCTAACTCAAACTCTGTAAGCACCACCACTTGTCCAAAGTTTCACTCATGTTTATGCTAATAACTTTTGAACCGCAAGGGCTAGAAGCAAAATTTTTTCCTCTGATTCCTTGGCTCAAGGCGATTCGATCGTCATTTTCCATCATGAATTACGCCATTTTTAATTTTCTTTTTCCCACTTTTTCAAACTCCTCCTAGGCTGTTGCTCCGATTTTTGAACCAGATCATCTTCAGACCATGCAGACAAAAAGCTATGGAATTCAAGTTGATTAGTCAAACCGGTTTTTTTTAAAACACGCAAACAAATTTTACGTAGCACTTGTGAGAATAGATGTAAGGCTTTATCTCCTCAACGCTTTATTGTATTCAGACCAAACTTGGTCCGTCTCATCACAAGCATGACCTGAGGTTACATGCTGCGTTTGGCCGCAGCACCACCTAGTGGTCAGAAGATATGAAAAATGGCTATTTATGCTTATAACTTCTGATTGGTTAGGCCAAAAATCTAACTGGTCTCTTTAGATTCGGTGCAGCATGCCGAGTTGATCCATACCCAATTTTCCCATGTCAGCCATTTTGGGTGTCGGCCATTTTGAATTTTGTCGAACTTCCTGTCCGCCATTTTAATTTGTTGAATACCTACTTTTTTCGAAACTCCTCCTAGACCGTTGGTTTGATTTGACTCAAATCATCTTCAGACCATGCTGGCAAAAAGTTATGGATTTCGTGTCGATATACAAAACGGTCATCGTTTAACGCATCAACGAATTTGCTGGAATGATGCAAAATTGCGTCTGAGACTGTATCTCTGCAAAGCTTTGACATATTGACACCAAACTTTGTATGTATCATTGTCACCTCACACTGACCATGCCACATCAATTTAGTAACAGCGCCACCTATTGGTGAAAAGTGTTAAACCAATCATTAATAATACATTTTCCAAAAATGCTTATAACTTTACATTACATTAGCCTATTGTAATCAAACTGGTCTCAAAACATTCCTTGGGTCATGCTGTAGATGTAGTTACCAATTTTACCATAGTTGGCAGAACTTTCTGTCCACCATTTTGATTTATGTTGAAAACACATTTTTTCTAACTTCTCCTAGACCGTTGGTCCGATTTTCACCAAATTTGACTCAGATCATCTTCAGATCATGCTTGCAAAAAGTTATGGATTTCGCGTCGATAGACAAAACCGTTTTTCTATAGCGCCGCTACAAATTTGAGGCATGATGCCAAAATGACTCTGAGGCTGTATCTCTGCAAAGCTTTGGCATATTGACACCAAACTTTGTGTGTGCCATTGTCACCTCACACACCACATATATTTGATAACCGCGCCACCTATTGGTCAGAAGTGATAAGCCAATAAATCATATTACTAGTGTTTGTATTTATGATCTTTCTGCCATTTTGACTATAATAATCTTTAAATGGTTTTAATTACTCATTGCTGCAGTTGGTCTGATGCTTGCTTCTGTAGTGCTTGGCCCCGTAATTGCTGCTTGCAGCTATTTTTTTATTTAGTTTTTTTTTCTCAGGCACTAGTCAATTTTGAGGTTTGGTCTATTTTGCTTCCATAACATGTCTTCTTTCAGATTAATGGTAGCACTAGTCAGTAGCACTTAGACCAAATTTGACCATTTTGTTCATATTCTGAAGGTTTGTTACAGAGGGGTTTGCTACTATATCATTTGACTGATATATATTTAACATTTTATTCCCTTTTCTTTATGGCTGTTGTATTTTCTGACTTATGTAGTGATAAAAAAATCCCCTCTGTTAAAACCTTTAACTCTAATATATACAAAAAAAAAAAAAAGAACAACGGAATAAGAAACTATTTTGAACCTGGCTTTATTTAATGTTCAGATTTCTTTTCTGATAATGTATGCAAATTATCGTATTCAGTAATGAACCATGAAAATGTACCATCATTTTTCGTTGAAATAAATATATAAATATGAATACATTAATTATACCTACCTAGTGTATTAACTAATGTTAACAGATACCACTTTAAAATTTCAAAATGTATTGGTAAATGTTGAAATTAACCTTCTTTGCTGCTCTAGCAACAGACACGACCCTGAAAAACTGGGTATGTATTTTTTGCAGAAAACCGATTGTTCCAGCAATTAAAAAACATGTGCAAATATGACTAAACAGTGTGCAAACTTGACGCAGTTATGGCCAGACAACTGTACGAAGCATGTTTCTTGCACAGTGTGTATTTTTTGTTTTTTACAGTGCTATGTCCTTCCCCATAGACTTACATTGTGCATTTATGTAATGATTGCTGCCGATTGATTGAACATGATAGATGTTTTATGAATTGGGGTAATAGGGTGACAATGGACTGACCTGTGACCTGAGCCACCACGGCCTGTGAGATGCGTCTGTTGCCCAGAAAGGCTTTGATTTCCTCCTTCACCAGGGTGCTGTCTCGCCTGCACACATCACAGGATGCAAGCATGACAGCTGCAATTCAACACCACAACATGACGTCTGTGAAGATTCAGTTATCAAACTCATCGCAGAAAGTCTCCGAGCAAAATGACCCTGCTTACAACTGGTAAACCCAACCACACACCACCAACGCTAAATTCAGGACAGGTTTAGAGAGTTTAACTTTTAGAGTTTTTTAGAGTTTGAATCGGCTTTTACCTTTGACCCACAACAGTGAGATATCTTTTTTTATATTTTTATTTTTTAGTTTGTTTGTTTTTTCTGTTTTCAAATTAAAAAAAATGTCTATATAGTTTTTATAAATTTTTATTTAAGTGTTAGTCATTTTATTACATCCAATTAAATTGCAGGAAAATTAGAAATGTTTCGTTGGCTTACATATTACATAATTAACTTACATAAAATAAGTTTCCTTTTCCCCCCCCCGTCATCTCAGGGCTCCAGACTTCTAAACTAAAATGGTTGCACATGTACGTAAAAATAAATAAATGAATAAATAAAACAATATTAAAAAATTATTATTAAAATCGCAATTTATAAAAATAATAAATGTATGTAATATTACTTACAATCTAACTGCCTTTTAAAATATTGGTCAACCACTAGTAAAACAAAAAAAACATAAAAAATAAAGTGCAGTACAAACTGTATACGCCCTATTATTAAAAAAGGAACTACAACAGTATGCAACAAATATTTTGAATGTTAATATACAACATTGTTGGCACATTATTTCAAAATGCTGCATGACTGAGTGATTGATTGAGTGCAATAAATCATCTCAGCTTTGTTTTTTAATAATTTTGTTGTGTTTTTGTCATTTTTATTAGGCTAGTTCTTGTGTTTTTGTCTAAACAGTTTTTATACATTTTTATTTCAGTTTTAGTATTTGTTATTTTAATAAATCAAGTTACACTAAATAAAAATGAGAATGGTGCTAGCTGAAAATTTTATAATTTTTCATTTCAGTTAACATTTCTACTATTTCAAGTAATGAACATTTTCTAATAGTTAGTATTTTTAGTTGTAGTTAACTATAATAACCCTGACTGACTGACCTCATGAGCTCCTCCACCTTGTCGTCTATATCCAGGTCCTCCTCTGACCCCTCCAGCCCATACGATCTCACGGCCGCCGCACTGTTCACTGGGTAACGGTTTGGCGACAGCTTCCCATTGGGCGTCGCCGCCAAAGTGTCCCGCCCATTCTGCGCCATGGCAACCAGAGAGACTGGCGAGGGTAAGACGGCGGGTGGAGACGTGGCGTAACTGTTGCTGGGCGACGGCGATAAATTACCGTGGAACTGCGTTTGCGTTGCTGTGGAGGTGGTGGAGGAGGTCGCCATGGTGGCATTGCTAGTGTTATTTGAGGTGGGTGTAGTGCTGGAGGTGGTGCTGTTGGTGGCGTTGGAGTCCGACGGGCCGCGCCGGCTGAACTTGTCCCCGTGCTCGCGGTCGAGTCGCTCCAGGGTGTCCAGCGCATGCACGATCTCGGGTTTGGTCATACCTGTACGCCGCAGTCTCTGCAGCAGGTCGATCTGTTCGATGGTGAAGCGTGGCTCATCTGTGTAGTGAGACATTCTGATGGGACAAAGAAGAAAACGTTATGGAACACAATGCACATCAATCACATGTGCATCAATGGCTGCTGTGAGAAGAAACAAACAGATGCTACATTGAGAACAGACAGTTTGCATACTGACATTAACTAAGCATTCTGGTTCATTCATCTCAGGGCTCCACAATGCTATTAAAATGGTCACAAACTAGTAAAACAAATAGAAAGATGCTGCACAGTACCGTGTACTATTTAAAAAAGGAAGTATAACAACAGTATGCAACAATAAATATTTCAGTCGTTCTTCAACATTTCAACTCAGGTTTATACTTGATATATTAAAATGTGTATATATATATATATATCAGTGTTTCCCCTAGGTTTACGGCTTTTGGGGGGGGGGGGGGGGGGTCTAATTAATTAAAATCATGAAAATTCAACAATTTAACATCAATTAATTAAAAGTTTAACAAAAATTACGTTTAGGGCCCTATGAAATGTTTTATTTTTTCCAACCTTATGTTTTATTGTTACCAAATTTTGATTTAGCATGTCTAATTATTTGAAATCATTAAAAACAAGTTTCATTTATTGTTACAATAGCCTTATGATTTTTTTGCTCAGAAATTCTGTGTTGTGTATTTACATTTTTAAGGCATAAAATATTAATTTAATCTATCTTTTAAGTAACGAAAATTAAACAAATTTTATTTTTTGGAAAATAAAGGTCATTTAATATTACAATGAAAACATTGAAGAAATATTGTATGATTATTCCTTAAAAATAAGGTTTTTAATAATTTTAGTAGTAGTAGTAGCAGCAGCCTATTACGTACATTCTACTGAACAATAGTAATATATTTCTGCCAATGCCTTCAAGTTAAACCAAACGTTTATTTTGACGGGTTGCCGTGAATACCTTTACGTTTCTGTGTGTATATATATATATATGAGGATAGTTTTACTCAAATCAAATGGTCAAATGCTGATGAAGTGACTCTCAGAGCAGTTCTGGAGATGTTGTTCATGTATTTATGTCCTCATTCAGTGAGACGGCAGAGCTAAAATCACCGCAAGCATCATGCGCACTTCAGTACAAGTGGTAAACAAAACCGCACGTCTGCGCCATTCATTAACACAGAGACATGAATAATTCATATTTAAATAGTCGTTTTGCGGCTTAATATTTACAAAGACTAGTGGGAGTGTGCTCACTTTTGTGTGTGTGTGTGTGTGTGTGTGTGTGTG